TTTTTTTACTTTTACTCATCAAACATGATACACTGTTAAGTCTGTTATATTTGGGAAAAAAACAACTCTTTTTGGTTACAAATTAGATAGATATTTAGAAAATGATCGATGGGTACCTTTTTCTTTGGCTCCGTCTGGATAGGTGTCAAACCAATAAATTCCGCCATGGCTTTTTTCCACTTGGTATAAGGACATCTTTTGGAGACAATATTTAAAACATCGTAGAGGGTTGGTGCCTGACTTCTTCTCTCGATGTCAAAAAGATTTCTTTCGTAATGAGGTCTAGTTTTCTGTATGAAGAGAAAGGTACAGATAATGTCTTGTAAAATTAATTTTCTGAATAAATGCATGCTATTTTTTAATATATATATTTCAATAAAAAATCGTATGAAATAGTGAAACCATGCATTTTCACCAAGATTTTTATTTCAATCTGTTGTTATGAAAATATCAGTTGAAAGCTAAGTAAGACAATACCGAGTACTCGGGCCTCTTGGCTTTCTGCAGAAGAACCCGGTATTCCTTCTCTGCTTCCTCCAAATCTTGGTCCAAGCTCAGTTCCTTACTATAGCGTTTACAATTCACCAGAAACTCAGGAATGGGTTTCACATGTGGATTCTAAGAAGTAATCAATCAGTAGTTCTCATCAACAGCATCTATCATTCTTTCATTATTTTGATAATAAAATATCAATTAAAGAATCGTTTCGTTCACTTTACATATCCTTCCAACACAATTCATCTTATCTCTTTGGTATTATTTTAACAAACATATATATTGATTGAAAAAATAATGAATGTGTTAACAAATTATATATTTTATAATAATTAATACGTATCGCTCTAATCAAATGAATTTGTAATTACTTTCATCTCTGGTACATACGTATATGATATTACTAAAATATTTTCGAAATTATGATAAATATCCTTTCAAATATACATGTAAAAGACTTTTTATCGGTCTTCGACCGATATTGTTGTCTCGGGCTGATAAAGGGCGTGACTTAAAGAGGGTATAAATAATTTTACATGCATTTAACAAAGAATAATCATTCATCATTCAGAACACATTTTCTCACACACATAAAATCAAATAATCAGCGTGTAACAGTATAATTTATTTACAAATTCCGTATAGGCTCGATCGTTTATTTTTTTTATCATGTCAGAAATGACTCTTCAGCTTTTGCATCTAATAATTGTCCCCGCTTGAAAAGTGGGGTATATTAATTTGGGTTTGTCCGTCCGTCCGTCCGTCCGTCTTTCTGTTTGTCTGTAACGCTTTCGTTTCCACACGATATCTCGAGAACCCTTTGAGCTTTTGCAATGAAATTTAATATAGCAACTCGCTATGGACTAAAGAAGATCCCTATTGATTTTGAGGTCAAAAGGTCAAAGGTCGAGGTCATAAATTCGCAAATTCTGTATGTTATAAAACTTTCGTTTCCACACGATATCTCGAGAACCCTTTGAGCTTTTGCAATGATATTTTACATAACAACTCCCTGTGCTCTAAGGAAGACTCCTATTGATTTTGAGGTCAAAAGGTCAAAGTTAAAGGTCGTAAATTTACACCTTCTGTTTGTATGAAACACTATCATTTTTGGGCGATATTTCAAGAAGATTTTGAGCTTTTACTATGTAATATTATACCAAAACTCCCTAGGACCTCTCTCACTCCTCTCAAAGTGCCCCGCCCCGTTTGTTTTATTAGTATTTACTGTATTACATGTCGCTATTTTTAGCACAGGGACATGAGGAGAATTATTACGTATAAAACAGGTTCTCTGTGGACTTTATATTCTTATTACATCTATTAAAACTGTTTAATAAAGGTTAAATTAGACACCATGCATTGTGTACAATTTTGACAATATCGAACGTGAATATATACATGTATGTCACTTCATGTTTGTATACAATTGTCGCCATGTTACAGCGGCTCCGTGGTCTAGTGATATGTCTCTCGCTTCAAATGTGAGAGGGCCCGGGATCGCATCTCGGACGATCCTTTTTTTTCGAAATACTTTTCTTTTTTTACTAAACGGTAGTATTCAGCATGTGAAATGAAAAATTTATGAGGTCTTGCTTGTACAAACTCATAATATCATCATTACAGTGTGATAAATATTCCATATAAAAAAGAATCTTCTACACACATAATAAAGAATAATCCATCAAACCTTTATATCCATATTGGCATATTTTATTTGCTTACATTGTATGTATACATTTGTATACATTTAATAATTCTACAAATTCAGTGAAGGGGATCCGAACCCCCGAACCCCCCCCCCCAACCCCCGAACTGCGCATGGTTTACTTTTCCCTAAGCAGGGGACACAAATTCTCAGAATTAGCTTGTATTATTTTAAAATCAACTACAATTTTTTGTATAGAGAATATGAATGTACCATTTCATGTCTGATCATGATTAAATGCTAAATGTCCATAGGGTGAAATAAAAATCCGTATCAACCCTGCAGGATTCGTATCAGCCCAGGAAGCTGATACAACTTTTGTAAAGTAAACTTTTAAAATCGTATGCAAAAATCTCTGCATTTATTATTTGGTAGGCAATAAACTTAAATGAGTTTATGTATTCGATATTTTTTACGTAAATTTTATTGTTTATATAGAGATTCAATGGTTAAAGAAATAAATAAAACCCGGAACTACCTCAATAAACAGGACATGAACTTGAAACTCTCCTTCTTCCTTCATTTCCTGTAAAATCAATTATACAATATCAAACACATATCAAACACATATAAATTATACACAAGCGCGTGGTAAAAGCTGTCATTATTTTTCAGAGAAAAAAGTTTAAGGACCCTCTCTCTCTCTTTCTCTCAAAAGGATGGGAACTATTTCCTTCTCTTAATTTGATTATTATATAAATTTTTAAAATATACTTGTGAATTCAATTAAGTGTAAATACTTTGTTTTCGGGTCTTCGTCATACAAAATAAGACAAAATAAGATGATAAATAATAAAACTGGAAACAAAATCGCAAATTCTTAGCCACATAAGACGTGACACTAAATTAAACACATGTTTCGGTATTTTTTCTCTTTCAAATATCTACTACCTTTACATTATCGGAACGTAATCTTTATTTGTTTTGAGAGACGTGCACATTGGTTTATCTCTAGAGGGTGCAATGCTCACTCAGGGAAAAACATTTTTTTTCTTTTTTGCAAATATTTGAAGCAAATTTAAATTTCTGAACTCACACAACAAAACTTTAAACACGCCATAATGATCCGCCAGCCCATTTATAAAAAACCTATTTTTATATGACCTGGTCGACATTTAATTCTCTGAAATTTAAATTAAGGTCAGCTATACAATACTAAAGAATAAGTCGATCGAAATACCACCGAGTATAGTTACATATGAAGTGGTGAAAATTTCTGACGAACTTCCTTACGGTTATTTTGTGAACTTTATATGAAGTCAAATTTTCAGATAAAGCACTTTCGTTTTGAACATTAACAGGTATATAAAAAATAAACGAGTTTTTATATCATTATTTAACAACCAATAATGCATTTCACATACTCTGATTTTCCCACAATAATAATAATAAATGATCTCTGATCGAAATAGAATAAATAAAATATAAACTGAGGCACAAATTATTTTATAGATCATTGATTTTGACCTATAGATAACTATCATTGTTGAAGCCTGGGAAGTAGATATAGAAAATAAAATACATTATAACTTCATTTTTTTTGCACGTTCTGTTATGAGTACTGTTACTATTGTAACTACTTGATTAAATTAATTACAGAAAAAAGAGATTTTACCTTAGTTCCGCTCATTCTGCGTTTCTTTCCTGAAACGAACAAACCGAAAGTAGAAATTTACAAGTTTACCGACGGAGCATTAGTCCTGCAAAAAAAAAAAATATCTAGGGTACGGCTTAGCGACGCATAAAGAACCTTGAATTTACAGTCTGTCTAGTCCTTTATATGTCTTGATTTGCAAGTGTAACTGGTACTTTCTCTGTTTGTGTTGATGCTAAATATGCAGGTTACCGGACTTGTGCAATAAAAAAGAAAATCCTGATATTAACCATTCCCCTAACGCTGCTCCATACAATTTATAGTGACTTCCTTGTTGTAAAATGTATGAGAGTTACCTACCTTTGATCGCTATAGAAAAATCTAGAATGTAAATCAGCGGTCTTTCAGTAAACGTGAAGACGTCTAGAATAGGTCTTATTTTCGAAATGTTCAAATAACACAAACGATAGTGAGCTAGCCTAATGAATTATGATAAGCATTTTAAATATGTACTTTCTTTAAAATATCTGCAGTATAATAATCTATCAAGCACTGAAAGAATTAATTTTATTAATTAAATAACATACTGCACACAACAATGTAATTATTTCAGTATATATAACAGTTATTGTAATAAATAAGAATATTTCTTTATTCGGTGGAATTTTTACAAATTCAACATTTTCAAGGCTTATAGTGTGTGGTATAAAAAACATTGAAATCCGAGAGTTGAACAGAAAGGAGCTTATGGAAGTTTAATCGCAAGTCGCATCAAACGGGAAGATTTGCATAACGATGTTGTCGAACTTATTATTAAGTCCGATAGTCAATTAAATATATACAATTGAACTGCTACAAGATAGCTAACTTAAACTTACATTGTATCAGTTTTTGAAAAATGGATCTACTTTTTTTATTTTCACTAAAAAGGTCATTCTGTAGTTACGTGCATCAGAATATCGATCACGCACGTATAGTTAGTAGTTACTGAATCGTTTTAAAAGTGAGGAGAGTGGGGAGTCGGGGAAAAAACTGACAAAACATGTTCAAACTTGAAAATCCTATTTTGAAGAGAGGGTGTCCAAGTTACCTTCTTTCGTAACTAGATTTCACACATACTTTACCACATTACCCTGATTTGACTCTAATGCAACAAATTTTTAAAAATGAGGGAGGGGATTACAAATCTTTCTATGAACATTTAAAAGTTTACAGCCCCCACCTCCCCCACCCGACACTTCATGCCTTTGGGATCAGAACAAATTTATATGTAATTGTGAAAATGAACGTTGGAACAAAATATACACCAATATTCAAATTTGAAGCAAAGCAAAGCAAAAACGGACCACCAAAAGATATCAAAAGTAGGAACAGCTGCCATGGAGGAGTAAATATCTTTTGTTAATCATAACCGGTCACACCCGCCGTGTGCTTCTTGTCATGATCGGGAAAACTGACAAAGCCGTAGACGATTCAGTGCAAATAATAAACTAACAATGTAACGAAAAAAAGTCATTCAACATTCGCCATAATGTCAGATTGCATTTGCTGAAAGATCAATATAATGACCATAGAACTTGCAAAATGAGACTGTTATCCCTGTTTCATGAACTTGTTTTTCAATAGCTTGCTACTTTTTAGAAAATGTTCTTAGTTAGAACGTGCTCTTGTGTATCGAATCAATCTGGACGCATAGACCTCATTAGCAGGTGGTAAGGGTATATTGCTACATATAAGTAATGGAAGCTGACGGTTGAAAAGCTAAAGTCATCACGTTTATCATTTGAAGTTTTGTTGTTAGATTATCATTAACGTCTTTTTCAAGTAAAATATCCAAATACATGTATAAAACAGATGTCAGGGTGACAGGGTGAAGGTGGAACCCTTGGAAACTCTGACAGATTGTTGGGTGTCCTTACACTACACTACATAGATTCTGACGGTCAGAAACTTAACCATCCTTTTATTATCAACCTCAGAGCGTTTCAACAAAATAAATTTGTAAAATGACCAATGAAAACACATTTGATGTACGTAAATTCACGCGATGAATTTTTATTTTTTTTAAAAAGTCAGCTGTCTATGGTGTAAAAATCTTGGACTTTAATTTATCGTGAGAAACGGTTGTATAAAGTGTTAAAAGTCTTAAAACTGATGGCAAGGGAAAAAGAGGTTCTGGACAAAGGCACTTGGCGTTACTTATTTTTCTTTTAATAAAAAATATACCCCCTACCTAATAATAAAGGTAGGGGGGATATTTATATTTTATACAAGAGGTTAAGCAAAAACAGCTGCGAATAGCCAGAGATGTATTATCTCATTAGAGAAAAATGTGTGGATTTAAAAATAAGTAACGTCAAGTGCCTGTGGTTCTGGAGTCCTTAAAATAAAATAACTAATCATGGAAACGTCATTGAGAATATGCAGCAATTTAGTGACACTAGCCCTTATTTTGTTCTGTAGAAACTCGAGCTTTGTTTTTTTCCTGTATATATATTCTGTACGAATTCATCATAGTAATGCCAAGACATACTAGTATCTAGTAATGTAGTACTCACGTAAGAAAATTTTATGTTAGTACTTTTTGTTAGACTAAGTGTATTAATTTCCCACTGACGGTGACGGTGAGTACAAGATGTACTGATAATCTACAGAAAATGACTTATCAGCACTATCCGCCCGTGTACACTATACGATGTCTGAGTGTGAGTATATACATCCTTGTTACCTACACACACACTGTCTGACAACATGTGGGCACCTGGTGAGACTGACTCGTTATGACGTCACAATACACATTATTACCTAACCTACTATATAAATTATAATTAGGCATTTTGAACTGTTTCACGGTTTACTTTATGTTTTTGCGTGATCATGAAACAGTGAACTGTTGACCGGTCCACAGAATGAACTGTTGCCTGTTTAAAGCGTCATCGTGATATTCAATCGTTTTGATGATAACGACATCACTATTTACCTGCTCTATAATTAATCAAATTAAAAAAAACCCCACACAAACAGTCAATTTATTAAGTATTACTTTAAATTGAAAATATTGATTTAATCTTTATATTATGTGTTCAGCTAATTAATAGACAAGTATGTGAATAAACAGTTGTGAAAACTTTTTATTGATTGTTTGTGTGTTTTTATTCCAATTTAATTAATTATATAGTAGGTTATGTAATAAAACACTTATTCAATGACTACTCGGTGAAACAGTCAAACTGTTGTCCCTCGGTAGTGGGGGAGACCTGGAAAACTGTTGCCCGAGGCCTTCGGCCTCGGGCAACAGTTTCCCAGGTCTCCCCCACTACCCCGGGACAACAATTTGACTGTTTACCTCGTAGTCATTAAATAAGTGTATACTGTATCTGCCATTTTCCGGAGATGACCGTCAATATCAATGAACTCACGGCGATCGCCTGAGAACAGATTAATGTCTGTTTATGACACATTGATGAATAAAATACAGGAAGGGTGTACTTTCATTAAATACCGCAAAAAAAAAAAAAAAACAAAAAAAAAAAAAAAACATATATACTTATGTCCTGAAGACAGACTTTTATATTTTCTGTTATAAATTCTGCTGATTGTTCGTGAGGTAATTAAGCGGCAACCCGGTACAGAAAAATTGCTAAGTTTATGACTACATACTTTGTAGATCGTTGAGAAAAAATTGATTCATCCCCTTCGTAATTTCAACTTCTCTAGTGCTCTCTGTCAAAGTCGATCCTTTAGACTTGCCCGACATTTTTTAATTGCAATTAAAATCTGACAAACAGTTTGCTTCGATCTTGGGTCTGACAAAAACGTATGTTGCCCTCGAACCCAGTCACTAAATATATAGTATAATGACCTCAAAAACAGCAATAATTGTTTTTTAGAGTGGTACTGATATAAGCTATAGTAAACAATATGGAATTTTAATTACATTCTTCTGGATTAACTAAGCGTTACATGTAGGTACCTGTACATACAATTAAAATTGGTATACGAAGAATGTAATTTCCTGTCATTGATACACGTTTCCACGGGAGAAGCTACGGGAGGACCTCGAAAAATAACAAAGGAGGCGAAATAAGATAAATACGTGTGGGTGGTGGTATTCCATGGCTGTCCTTATATCCTCCTTCTTCTTCCTTTCCTTTTTAATGGAAATGTCAATAAAGCGAAAATTGATTAATACGTGCTAATTAGAATAGTTGTGGCCGAGATTATCAACACAGGAATATCTGTACTTGATTTTATAACAGTCTCTTATTTCAGAGAACATATAGATATTAATGTCACGGCTCGTAGAGAAAATTGATAGATGCTATAAAGGAGTATATTTTCTGATGTTTTTAATTCAGTTCCTTGAACTGACTTAAAGTAGTTTTAATGACTTAAGGTTCCCAGATGTCGCAGATACAGCGCAAATTATAAAAAAGAAACAACCCATCAATTCAGACCGGAAATAAAATCATTAAATTGTAAACAGATGTACTATAATTTTACTTAAACCTGTTTTTCTTAATATATCTAAAACAATGTTTAGGCGTATGGACAAAGCACATGAAAAACAAGATGTGTTTGTGAAACACAGATGCCCCCGTATAGCAACTTACGATGAGGGTTGAAGTTTCTCATATGCAGTTCAGACTCCATGGTAAAGGTCAAATTGTTGGTTTTAGGCAAGGTTTAAATTTTATAAAAGTAGGTCAAACTCTAAGGACAAGGTCAAAAGGTAAAATGTGGTGGTACAAAACGAAAAAGGAATACACATGTGAAAGCCCTATTCAAAATTTATGGACAAGGCTAAAGTATGGTATTTTTTGTAAAAAATGGGTCAAACTCGAAGGTCAATGCCAAGAGGTCAAATGTGTTACCCAAAGGAAGGTCTTGTCACAAGGGGTACACCTATGAAATCCATAGCCCCACCCACTCAAAAGTTATTGGCTAAGTTTAAGATTTTGCGGACGGACAAAAAAAAACCAAACAAACAGATAAACAGCAAGACATACAGGTGGACAGAAGGACGGGAGGCCCGGACGAAATCTAAATATACTTCCGATTTTTTTTTTACGGGGGCATACGTTCCCTGCTTAATATGCTCAAAAAGTTATAATTAGGACACCTTTAATGTCATTCACTAGAGAGTCAGCGTTTTACTGGTAGATAGCAGTATACTCATGGTACTGCATAGATAACAGTAAATTTATTATGTCAAACAGTCGATTTGTAAGCGAGATAACGGGGAGGTATTAGGATGTCGGAGTCAGTGAACTGTTGCTGTGTGTTAGGGCACTGTTACATGACGTACGTAACACTAACCTACAGCAGAGAGCAGGCACAGCTATCAGCGAGGGCATACAAACGTATAATTATATACAGTTACACAATAAACAGCAAGGGCATACAAACCTACAGTTATACAATAACAGCGGGGGCATACAAACCTATACAGTTATACAATAACAGCAAGGGATTACATGTACAAACGTACAATTATAGAAAAAACAGTGAGGACATACAAACGACAGTGTACATTAATTTTATATAATGTACAATTATAACAGCTGGAGGCACAATATTCTTCCATTCTTCTCTTTTATCAACTTTTTCTTTGTCACATTTATTCACGTTCGGTTTTTATGATTCCTCTTCACGTTTTGTCGTGAATGTAACTGGAATGAACACCTGACCTTCATCGGCAGTTAAAACCTTTAAGTGAAAATTGAAAAAAAAAAAAAATCCATAGACAAAAATGTTGGACGATTAGATTAGCGATTCGCATCAGTAATAAATCAAAAACACCTGATCTGAATTTATTGAAACATTCTTGTGTTTACTACCAAGATTTTTTTGATAATACTGCAAAATTTACGTTTTGCACTCATGCAATTTAAAAAACACTCACAAAGAACAACAAGAGGCCTATGAACCACATAGCTCACCTGAGTAACTTTAGTGTTGCAGTTCTATACCAGATTTCCCAGCTCTTCTATTGTGGCCCCCTAGCCCCCCCCCCCCCCCCCCCCCCCGGTCTCGTCTTGATTTTTAAAACTGATTTTTATAATTTAGAATCTACACTACCTAAGGATGCTTCCACATAAGTTTCAGCTTATACGGCCAAGTGGTTCTTGAGAAGATTTTTTAAAGGTTTTACCTATATATTTCTATTCAAAACTTGGATTCCTGTTGTGGCCCCGCCCTACCCCTGGGGGTCATGATTTCATAATTTAGAATCTACACTACCCCTGGATGCTTCCACATAAGTTTCAGCTTTTATGGCCTTGTGGTTCTTGAGAAGAAAATCTTTTACAGATTTTTCCTATATATTTCTATGTAAAACCTGGATTCCCTATTGTGGCTCTGCCCTACCCCCGGGGGTCATGATTTTCATAATTTAGAATTTACACTACCCGAGGATGCTTCCAAATAAGTTTCAGCTTTTTGGCTCAGTGGTTCTTGAAAAGAAGATTTTTTAATGACCCCACCCTATTTTTGTCTTTTCTTTTCCCATTGGAAGGGAACTTGGCCCTTCATGGTAACAAGCTAAACTCTCCATCACCCAAGGATGTTTTGTACTAAGTTTGGTTAAAATTGGCCCAGTGGTTCTTGAGAAGAAGTTGAAAATGAGAAAAGTTTACAGACGGACGAGCGAACAACTATACGAACAACGAACAACAGTGATAAGAAAAGCTCACTTGAGCTTTCAGCTCAGGTGAGCTAAAAATGTATGTAAAAAATAAAGAATAAGTGAAGGTTGTGAATTTCAGCCGTCAAATATTTTAAATCTAAATATTAATAGAATAAAAGGGGTTTCGGTTATCCCTGGTTATTTGAAAAACATTGAATATTTATTAATTAAAAAAAACCTTAATAATTAAATGCATTTGATTTATATTCTTCATTTAATTGCACTTTATCTTGAGGGTTAAGATATTATCTACCCTGATATGTATAAGTGGGAAAACTCCCTTTTCTTTATATCTAAAATCAATGATGTAGAAATAAATTGATCTATGCGCATTTCTTTTTACACTCTTTTCATTTTTAATTTCTATCTTCTAAAAGTCAAAGGCAGAATTGATCTCTCTTTAAATAGAGTCGATCCAATTTTTCCTCATCAATCAATTAGGATACTCTGTTGAGTTTGTTAATTTCAATATATCAATTTCCAAATAGCATTGAATGTCTACAAAACGATATATAAAAAGTACCTGCATACTTGGCTGGATAGGTGTCAAACCAATAAATTCCGACATGGCTTTTTTCCACTTGGTATAAGGACATCTTTTGGAGACAATATTTAAAACATCGTAGAGTGTTGGTGCCTGACTTCTTCTCTCGATGTCAAAAAGATTTCGTTCGTAATAAGGTCTAGTTTTCTGTGTAAGGAGACAGGTCAAAGTACAAGAACGGTCTTATATAATTAGTTTTGTTCATATCAATCTCTCTATATGACATTAAGAAATTATACAAAATAAATGTACTACCACAAAGATTTTTTTTTATTTTCATTTAACGTTTTAAGATCAGACGACTCAAATATATGTTTTGTATCTCTTGGTATTATATCAAAAATTATTCATATTTGTCATTCTCTTCTTATTTCTACATTGTATTTAATGTGTTTTTAAACATAAGTGCACCAAAAATTGTGTTATAGGCCATTTAGAAGATTACCCATAAGGGTTATATAAGAAATATGACCCTATGGTTTTTTTGCCAAATGCTTGGTAGGTATCCAAATTTTTTTGTGAGGAAACCTGTTTAAGTACCTATATTTCAGTAACAAATTCTTACCAAAAATTATAATATATTTTTGAGGAACGTGTCGTCTGACCTTAAAAAAAAACTCAGTTGTCAAAGCACGTTCAAATTTAAATACACTGTACTTCGATGTGAAGGTCAAATGACACCTGCATAATTAAAAAACAGAAGAAATACCGAGTACTCGGGCCTCTTTGCTTTCTGCAGAAGAACCCGATATTCCTTTTCTGCTTCCTTCAAATCTGTGTCCAGCTTTAGTTCCTCTTTATAGCGTTTACAATTCACCAGAAACTCAGGAATGGGGTTCAGACGAGAATTCTAAAAAGTAATCGATCAGAAGTTCTCATCATCAGCATCTATCATTCTTTCATTATTTTGATAATAAAATATCAATTAAAGAATCGTTTCGTTCATTTTACATATCCTTCCAACACAATTCATCTTATCTCTTTGGTATTATTTTAACAAACATATATATTGATTGAAAAAATAATGAATGTGTTAACAAATTATATATTTTATAATAATTAATACGAATTGCTCTAATCAAATGAATTTGTAATTACTTTCATCTCTCGTACATATGTATATAATATAACTAACATATTTCAGAATTTATAATAATTATCCTTTCAAATCTACATGTAAAAGACTTTGACCGATATTGTTGTCTTGGGCTGATAAAGGGCCTGACCTAAAAAGGGTATAAATTATTATACAAGTATTTTACAGACAAAGAATAATCATTCGTCATTCAGAACATAGTTTCTCACACACATAAAATCAAACAATCAGCGACAGTATAATTTATTTACAAATTCCTTATAGGCACGATTGTTTTTTTTTATCATGTCAAAAATGACTCCTCAGCTTTTGTATCCAATAATATTATTTTAAAATCAGCTACATTTTTTGTATAGAGAATATAAATGTACCATTTCATGTCTGCTCATAATTAGATGCTTAATTTCCATAGGGTAAGATAAAAATCCGTATCAACCCTGCAGGATCCCTATCAGCTCAGAAAGCTGATACAACTTTAATTTGTAAAGTACTTATAGCATATGCAAAAATCTCTGTATTTATTACTTGGTAGGCAATAAATGACTTTATGTATTCGATATTTTTACGTAAATCTTATTGTTTATATATAGAGATTCAATGTTTAAAGAAATAAATAAAACCCGGAATTACCTCAATAAATAGGACATGAACTTGAAACTCTCCTTCTTCCTTCATTTCCTGTAAATTCAATTATACAATATCAAACACATATAAAATATACTATACTAATATGATATCTGTTTGTGAATTATTTGCTGATGATAATTCTTTACAACAATGTTCAGATAATATTAATCATATTGAACAAAATCTTAACCATGATCTTAAAATACTAGATGAATGGTCAAAGAAATGGTTATTGAAATTTAACCCATGCACAGAAAACCAAAGCAGTATTTTTTAATTTAAAAATTGTACAGCATTTTCCTAAATTATTTTTTGACAATTGCCAATTGGAATATGTAACAGAACACAAACATCATGGGATACTTTTGTCGTACAACTTAGGATGGTCTGATCATATTGATATCATTATAAAGAAAGCATACAAAAATCTGGAGCTCCTTAAAAAACTAAAATTTACCGAGTCAAGAGATATTCTATCCCAGATGTATATATCTTTTATTAGAGCACAACTTGAATATGCTGTTGAAGTTTGGTCAGGATGCACAAAAACAAATATTGAGAATCTTGAAAAAGTACAATTATTTGCTGCAAGAATAGTTACTGGGCTTACAATTATTGCTTCAAGAAAGGATCACTTCATTACAAATAGGGTTCTGACCTATAGGACCGGGTTTGGTTTTATTCTCTAGAAAAAGCTTGTCAATTTCCGTTCTGATTAATGACATTAGGCTGAATATATAAAACAGTTTATTATATGATTGAATAATTTCCATCTCTCTGATTGGCTGAGATCCAACTATGATAGAAAAATACTACGTTGTATTGACCTGCACGTGACGTTCCAGGTCAATACAAGGATTTATTTCCTCTACATTGATATAAAAATAGATCGGAATATTCCAAATTGATACAAATTGATTTGGAAAGCTATTTGAACTACTATAACTTTTTTTCATGTGAAGAAAGCATAAGCAAATATATATTTTCGGGTGAGGGTGGTAAGAGAGGATGCAGGGACACTCCTCCAACACTTTTACTGAACAACAATTTTTACTTGTTGTCAGTCAGTTTTCCCTGACAATACTCCTTCCTTTAAAAACCTATCCTAGAAAAAAGACTGACATAATTTTTTTTCATGGCAACTAAAATTTATTTTAAAAAAATTTTAAGAATGAATACGACCTGTAAGATTGATTAACATTTTAATTCTGCTTCTCTCTTAATTATATTTGGATAGGACTTCGCGTTAATTTTCGCTGATATTGAATAGAATTTCATTATACTTAAGAGACTCACCGTAAAACTGTCATGTTGTAAATTTTGAATTTACCGGGTGGCAGTAAATACAAAATTTACAACATGACAACTTTGTATTTACTGCCACCCGGTAAATTCAAAATTTACAACATGACAAAACTCTCAACAAGTAATGGATTTTATCATTTTATTTGTGAATCATATAATAAAACAATTATTGCTGTTTTTTTTGGTCAATACAATGATTTAGCCATCTTCGAAGTGCAATATTCACCTCGCCCTCCGGGCTCGGTGAATATTGTACTCCTCAGATGGCTAAATCATTGTATTGACCTCAAAACACAACAATAATTGTATATTGTTTTTCCTAAGCCTTTATTTCAGTGGGTACAGATAGGAGGAACCCTTTCATTGATTCTCTGAGTTTGTTATCTCCAAATGTACATATAATTATTTTTATTTTTTTTACTTTTCATTGTGCATAATGGTAACGTCCACTGTCTCTGAAATTCTATTCTTCATGTCAAGGCTATTTATTCGTGGATGTAATAAAACATACCATTATTTAAATGTGTGCAAATTATACAGGCCTAAATGAAATCCAAGGAAAACATTTACTGATAAATGCAGTCAAAGTCAATGTGATTAAATTCCAATGAATATATACAAACGAAATTCATCGCAGCTCAATGCTGCCAAGAATACATGTACAATGTACCTGTATCGAGCAACACAAAGTGAGCTACATGTATTCTTGTCCTCGGAGAAAGTGTTATATTGTTCGGCCTGACTGACAACTGTACATTGGATTGTTACGATCTGATCTCTCTTTAGTGTTTCTTATATCAAGGATGGTCACGCACAAAGGATAGATAATTGAAAGGAAATGCACAAGTCTATAAAAAAAATTAAAATTATAGTCTTTGAAAAGGCGAAAAATTAAATATTTAAAAGTGTGGTACCAGGTGGATTCGAACCCCCGACTTTAAAAAGAAAGTATCGATAGTGTAACATTCAGCACATATAACAACTGAGCTAGTCCTAAATGCCCATATGGCATATTTTTTAAGCAGATTATCAAAATCAGGTTTCCTTATTTTTTTTGTAGGTTTTTGTGAATTTCGACCCCAGGGCAGGGGTGCCCCTAAAAAACTCTTATCTTAAATTATTCTTTACATCCAAACCTATCAAAATATCTGTTTTATCTAGGGGCAGGCCTGCCCTGAAGGACTTCGAGGCCAAATTACATGCAAAAATCAACGCTTTAATGGACAGAATGGTGTTTTGGCCAACTTTGGAAGTTTAATGTAAAGTTGTTAATAATAAATATTACCAGGTAGGTATAAAATACAAATTTGAAAAATACGGACAAGTGAATCTTGCTGGGCACTTGTCCGATTGGACAAGTGCATTTTGATGTAAAGGGGTCTTTAAATAATAGAAAAAACGACTGTTGAAAGCTAAATCGGTAGTCTCAAGACGGAAGCTGTACATAAAATCCAAACTTCGATCCCGGTATGTATAGCCTATTAATATTGAGTTCACATTCGATCGGGATCGAAGTTCACTAGTTGCATACTATTGAAAAGTCATGGAAGATTCAAGATACAAACTGAAGTGTGAATTGTTTGATGTTGACAGGTTCACTTGTGGACATTTGTGTTACTCTCAGGACAGAAAGTCTAAATTAAATTTCGTTGTATGTGTCTGTTGTATCTATCAATAACATCAAGAATCAATCAAGCGCATGCCATGTGTAAATAAATGGACTTATTTGTCTTTATTTTAATTTTAAAGTTGAAACTATTGAACAGGTCCAGTCCAAAGACTATTTCTACCTACGTAGCTATTATTAGCTATCTAGGTATTTAAAGCTATCCAAGGTAGCTATTTTTACCGACTTTCTGCTTTACTTGCATTTTGTGGCCAAATGCAGGAACGGCGCAACATGGCGAGCACTGAATTTTTTTAATACAGTCACACCGATGATGGATATGACAAAATTTGGCTAAAAAATGTTTACTTCGTATATTATCAATTTTGCATAGAAACTAATGTAAAATTGCCGATTCAGGAAGTAATCATTTTAGGCCAAAATTTTGTCGTATTCATCATCGGTGACTGTATCAAACGATATGGTATTCAACCATGCTGCGCCGTTTGGTCATTGTGCCGCAAAATGAAGAAATTATACAAAGTAGGTAAAAATAGCTACTTTGGGTAGCTTTAAATACCTAAGTAGCTATTAATAGCTACGTAGGTAGAAAAAGTCTTTGGACTTGACCTGTTGAATTTTATTGAAAAATTTTTGGACAAGTGAAGTTGAAATTCGGACAAGTAAATGTCTTGGTCACTTGTCCGAATGGACAAGTAGGAAAAAAAGTTAATGTCGATCCCTGGTTGGGAACCATTGGAATATAGAAGAAATAGGGCAAAACTAATAACAATGTATAAAATGCACAATAATTTAGTTCCTAATTATTTACAAAACTTAGTACCTGATACAAGAGGCAATATTTCAGGATACACTATCCGGAATTCTTTAAATTATTTACTGCCAAATCACAGACTAGAACTATATAATAAATCATTTATTCCCTATACTGTTAGAAAGTGGCATTTCCTTAGTCTTAAAACAAGGGAGGCAACTTCTATCAAAGAATGGAGGCGTACAAGGTGAGGACAGTCCCCCGCTCTGAGAAAAGACATTTCTCAATTTTAAAATTTATATTTTTTTTTAAATTATATTGTTTATATCATCTTTTACCATTTAATTCTGTACTTCATTGTTATAATATTTTAATAATATTTTTTTCACTCATGTTTTTAAAATATGTGAAAACAAAAAAGAAAAAGCTTCATGTATGATTCGAACCCTCTCCATAGCGCATGGTTTGGTCCAAGACCGATCGCTTTAACCACTAAGCTACGAAGTATAATAGATGCATTATCGACGTCGGTCAGTGTGATTTAAATGAACGGATTTGTTGAAGCGTACATTTTTCAGAAATTTTCGATTTCCATATAGAATCATGGGATCAGATTCCATTTTTTGGACAAATTAAATAGATTTTACATTTACGTTTCCATCATTTAAGTGTTAACGAAGAATGGAGACTTGACCCATTCATGTTCAAATTTCATTTTTTATAGCTCTAATAAACCCACTCTCCCGGTAAATAGAATGGAATGTTTATTCACCAATCAAGGGCCCACAGGGGGCATGAACAATTATTACAAAATGATAACACTGATTACAATTCTATATTAAGGATAATGTAACATGACTAGTGATTAAGTTTGACATTGAGAAGTGCATCACCACACTGGATCAAAAGCATAGAAACCATAGAATGATAAAAGAAAACACAATTAAATAAAAATGATAGATATAAGGTAAATTAAAAAAAAAAATAAAAAAAAATATCTTGTAGTAATGGCAGTACTCTAATATAAAACTTAGTGCATCTTGAATACAAAGGGCACCAGGGGATGATACCTCTACACAGCCAGTCTGGCAAACCTGTACCCTAAGTATTGAAGATGGTCATTCAAAAAAAAAAATCATTTAAGTATTAACAGAAATAGTAATTTCAATTAATAAGTACTTAGCATATAATTAGAAACTTAATGCAAACTAATCTCTTGGAGTTAGTTCAATAGATATTTGACATATGCATACCCACATACACAAACACACACTTACTGTTACACAAATCCATGCATACAAAAATAATAATTTATATACAAATATATGTATGTATAGTATATATTATAAACATACACTTATTGTT